GATCAATTCACCCCACCAAAATGTGATTTGGTTTGCGTTTCTTCAGAAAACCCGAAAGAAAAACATCAGTGGTCATTGTGCCATAATTATAGGTATGGCCCAGTTTCATGGCTCTCCTTGCTCTCATGCAAGGCTCTACCATGCCTCAATATAGACGAGGTGTTATTGTTGTTGACAAGTTCACTTGCACACAACAGAGACTTCATCTGTGAAATAACAATAGTTCGACACAAGAACAAGCGAAAAGCTGCATTGTCACATGATACTTTTCTCCCTTTCCTTATTGGAAGCAATCAAATCAAAACGTTCCCATACAGGGAAGGATCGCCTTTTTCGCGCAGGTTCCATCGCAAGCAACGGACAAGGCCCGAAAAAAGATTGCACTGTTGCACTGTTGCGCACAGGTGTAACAAGTACAGGAGCCCGAAATCCATAAAATGTGAGATAACAGGCGATCGCCATTGCGTTTTGCAACCTATTTAGACCGTAGTCTGGACTGTGTTTGCAATGCGCGCCAAACGTCGGGCCACTCATAAAGCGATAACGTGATTCAGCCGGCCGGCGAGGCATCACACGTCATCACTTCCGGGTTTGCCGAAATGACGTGCGCCTCCATAAAAGATTGTTGGAAACGCCCCTCCAATTACTCGACGCAAGCTTCTGAGCCTCGGCCCATTTCGTCCCATCACGACTGAGGAGTCGGCTGTGAGAGTACGGTACGTGTTCGAGCGCGTCCGATTATTCAAAGGTGAGTTGTCAGCGAAGATGTAATGTGACAAGTGTTCAACAAATCTAAAAACGGGCTTATCCTACATTACTGACGAAGCGGATAAATGCAACTTCCAACGACAATGTACGTTTAAACATCAGAGTGGACTGGTACAAAAAAAAAGTCTTGGCATTTTCAGCTTGCGCCGATCATTCATAAAAAGTCGTACTAGTGTGCACTGTACACAAGTAATTTATCAATGTATGTTTAGGACGAATTAATGTTGTTCCTCCCCCCCACCAAACCCAGCTACAATTATTGTAGTGAGGTCGACTAAACAACGTAAATGTTACCCGTGAGTCTCTATTCTCCTTTTTTTAAGTCATCGTACCGTACATACAGTTCATACTGTATTTCTAGTCGTGGTGGCCCGATAAAGTTTTAAGATAAGATAAGATAAGATAAGAAAACTTTTATTAGTCTCGCAATGGAGAAATTCCCAATTCACAGCAGCAAAGTTATGAATGCAGTTTTCTTGGTTTATTGGGCACACAAATCACGTGGTGGTCCAAACTCTGATTGTCATTTCAGCTACAGTACGTTTGATGGCTTTTTTTAGTAGTCTTGCATCAGTATCTGCATATCACTGAAAGGGGACAGGAGAAGAGCGCCAATCTCTCTTTTTAGTTAACGGATGCTAAAGCTTCTTGTTGCTTTCAAGCTTAGCTTGTAGCAAACGTGTGCATATTACAGCATGACGTCTTTGATCCACTGGTGAAAAGGACACTTTGATCCTCTCCTCTTTCATATATAACTGCTTCAGACAACAAAGTAATGCAGGAAAGTGGTAAAGATTGCACGGTTGTCTGTGTCTCATGTGTTGTCTTGTAATATTATGTCATTTTTTGTTAACTTTTCTTTTGATGGTGGCACGGACACCCGCAGCGGCTCCTCTTTTTATATTGAGAAAGAAGAAATGTCATCTGTGCTGTGTGTCAGCACATTTGACAATAAAGTCGTATTCAATTCAAATGAAAACCATAATTATATATTGAGGCCTTTATTCATGCAATCTGTGTGTGATTGATTTGTGGTTAATGCTATGGTTCAAAATAAACTAATCCAATAGGACATGGTAGGTTGCTTAAAGTAGTTGGTGCCTATGCAATCGATGTCCCATCTTTTGTCAGAGATTGAATTGTAATTCCTAAGGAACAACTACACCAGTGTTTCATCCACTCTGGAGTCGCTACACTTCTAATTAAACCAGTGTATTACCCGAGAAGAAAAAAAAATACCCTTTTTATAAAATGAGGTCATAACTCCAACATCAAAGTGGTATTCAATTCAATAAAAAAATCAAAACTTTGAATCGGAATCAAAAATGCTTCTGAAATATAGTAGTTCCATAGACGTGCTCCACTGACTACTTATTTCACCAAACACCTGCTCCGATGAACCTAAAATGTGAGCTTTCATGTTTTGCCATCACAATCTACAACTACTGCAAGTTTCATGAAAATCAAAATTCGCTGGGTGATTTGGCATGGAATGACCCCCATTCAGGCATATGATGCAGGATCTAATTTGGAGTGCTCAAGCCAAGCGTTGTCAACATGTTTTTTTGTTTTTTTTAGTCAGACTGCATCAATTAGTACTTGCAGTTGTCAGAGGAAATTACGGTAGCCAAGTTCCAGCTGGACAACAAACAAAATATCAGCAGATCCATGATGCTCTTTCCTCATCTGTTCATTAAACGCGCCAGCATGTCAACCACTCCTCGAAACAGGATGTCATCAGTGATGTCATGTCCGCTGTAACGAATGACACTTAGACACACGCTTCAGGAATTCCATTCTGGATTGCTCGACCAAAGCCTCGGCACAATTTGATCCATCGCTAATTTCTACTCAACTCAACTCAACTGTATTTACAGAGCACTTTCAAACAGCCATCGCTGCATACAAAATTTCTAGGCCATCATTACTGTTGGGGAGGCGAAGGACTGATTCGTTTCAGGAAATAACTGTAGGCTCGATGGTGTGCCGGTCAGAGCACAGGTAGGAGGAGACAGGAATTCCAGGGGGTGTTTCAATATTCTTTCCTGTGGTCTTAAAGTGAATACAAGGAGATCCAAGCAATACAGGGTGATGTTGGTTGAGGAGGGAAGATGAAGGATGAGTCGGAATGAGGGGGATGAATGAGTGTGGATTGAGGTTTGAGGGGGGAGGATTGAATAGGGGATCAATGAAGAAGGATCTATCGAATGAAGAGGGATCGAGTAGGAGTTGATTGAATAGGGGGATCGATGAAGAAGGATCTATCGAATGAAGAGGGATCGAGTCTACAAATGTGAGAAAGGGAAACTTCCATGTTACTGTATAACATAACATTCATCATATTCCTGGCTGCAACCAAGGAATAACAAATCAAAGGCAGGGTAAGGCGTAGAAAAAAAAGTGTGTTTCCGGTAACAGCATAGGGTCGGTAGGTCGGACAAAGTTTTTTTGTTTTTTTTTATCCCCCCCCATCAAAAATGTAAACAAAATAACCATAAAACAAGGAGACATTGAAACCCCCGCTCGCTGCCAAAGGCGGCAAGAGAGTTGGGTACCCGGCGGCTGGGTGTTACAGCCATCTCGTTACCTCTGCGTCCCGCATCCTAGACGCATAATTGTCCCACGGGACGCACAGTTTCAAATAATGTGCGTTTTTGGGACGCAAGGAAATTTCTCAGTCAAAACAAACAAACAAACAAACAAACAAAAAAAAACTACGGCAAGCCTGAGGATTTCACGGTAACAATAGTTTTCGGTAGTGTGTCGTTTCCGTGGCGTCATTTTAACGGTACCGAAAAATTGTTTAACCATTAAAGTCACCGCACACGACTTGAATGTGTGATCAACGCGATTTCACAGTGCCTCCATGTGTGTTTGTGGTGTGGTGTGTGAGTGTGTTTCTTCTAAGATTAAGAATTTTTCCATTGCGAGACGAATAAAGGTTTTCTTATCTTATCTTATTGAGATGTCCTTTATTTGTCCCACACTGGGGAAATTTACACTCATCAGCAGCAAGATTGTGGGTAGAAAGAAGAAAGAAGAAAAGAAAACAAGTTTTGTTTTGTTTTGAGTGTTGGGGGGACGCAACAGATAACGTTATGTGCGCAAGCGGGTTACTATTTTAGTCCGCAAACTGAGGAATCGCCCGGATGAAAGTTTGAGATGGCGGCGAAAAAAACTCACAATGGTCTACTAATTACGACATTTAAGAAATGGGAATGCCAGTCCGATTTTTCGTATGAATCGTCCAAAGGGCTTATCACTAAACTCACCTGGGATGTATGCACAGAACACGAGAGCGAGATACGACGAGAGGCACGATTACGAGTCAAGTTGGTCATTAGATTTGTAGGCTAATCGCTATGAAAAATATTATGAAACAGTATTGGTTATTCTATAATTTACTGGTTGTGGCATGGTACCTTTATGAATAAAACATTCGTCACAAGGTGTAGTAATGCTAATGTTCACTGTTGGTAGAACTAATGATGACGTGTGTTAAATTTAAAGGTTGTTTGAAAAAAATGCCGACCGTAAAGTTTTTTTTCGGTGTAGAAATTCTGTCGGTCAGGTTACCGGAAACACACTACTTTTTTTTTTCTACGCCAAATGGCACATCAAGGGGCCACATGAATTAACTACATTTACATTTAATGAAACTAAGGCCGACACACATTTGTAAACAAAATACACATGGGCGTCTTCAGAACGGGAAGGGGCTACAGACATCGCACCATTAACACAACTTGACTTATAATTACAAACGATGCCTCAGTATTAACAGGAAATCGCTGCGAAACGCGGCGGCCCGATGCTAACGTGCTAATGTGGCTAACACTCGCAAACACTAGTCGCAACTAATGAAACAGGAGAAATACACCTCATTGTACTCAGTGAGTACTCGAGTGCTTAGGGAATCGCCGATGAGGTAAACGGCACAAAGGAATTGAAAGGATAAAGGCTGAGATCGAAAGGAACAGAATGACCTTGGTCAGGACGCAAACCCGGAACTGGCAGGTGCTGAAATAACGCGATACTTAAATGCGTAAACACGAACGTCTTGCGATAAACAAACGAGCTGAGCCTTTTCTACAATGACAGAAATGAAGTTAAAATTCATCGAAAAGATGAGGGCTTTGTAAAAGCAAGGGCACTTTTATAACAGCAGCAACTCTGAAACTGCAACTTCAAAATATCTAATGTCTTCAATGTTTCTTTGTTACAGAGAAGAAAGTGGTCCATCAGAAAAGGCAGAGCCTGTTCAGGTTTTTTGGAAAAGTGAGAAGAAATTAATTCAGCAAATTAATGATGGGAGCACAACAAAGAGTTTCAGTTTCGGTCCGGCTTTCTACTCAAGCATGTACAGTGTCGTCTGTTATTTATAAACCTGCAGCGCGTGTTACACCGTTGCTGTACAGCAATATCTGTTGTGCACCTGTATGTTTTGAACAGACAAGAGTGTTCGCTGCTGAAGAAACCAATCAAGTTTACCAGGACATCGCAAAGCCATTGGTTGTTTCAACTGTGGGAGGATACAATGGTTGGTAACGACATCGTAAAGCTTTACATTGTACGTGTTCCTGTGCACGTGTAAATGTTGCTGCCTTTTTGTTTTTTTGTTTTTGCTTTTGGTCAGGCATCCTCCGGAAAGACGTTCACAATGATGGGGAGTGATCATGTTCCTGGTGCCGTCCCACTGGTTGTTGATGACGTCTTTGAAACTATAAAAAAGGTCAAATATGTTGTAGTTTTGTTTCATGTTTTTTGTGATTATGCTACATTTTGTTGGTCAATATCATTTAATCACGGATGATTTCTGTTTGGTCTGCAGTGTCCAAAGAAGGAGTTTCTTCTCAGAGTGTCTTAGGCGTAGAAAAAAAAAGTAGTGTGTTTCCGGTAACCCCGACCGACCGAGAATTTCTACGTCGAAAAAAAACTTTACGGTTGGCATTTTTTTTCAAACAACCCTCTACATTTTTCAGAGATGAAAGTCCTCCGGATTTTCCCTGAATTCCGGGTTTTTCAAATTTTTATGAAAATCTCTCCGGAGAATTGAGGAAAATTTGCCGAAAAATTAATCCGGATATTAGTTGACATCATTGAACGAAGACGCGTTTGAGTTCGTTGTTTTGGTTTCACGAGCGTAGCCATGTTGAGACACTAACACAAGGAACAGGAAAGAGATTTTCGTCTCTTTATAAACACACTTGCTAAACACCATGGGAACGACGAATATAAGAAACCGTGGACAAGACAGTTGTCGTAAAAAATATATTTGGACAAAAAGGGAAATACACAGATTGGCAGAAAAACGTGTCCGTCCGACTTCGAGTGTCGTCTCGGCTAGCTTAGCCTAGCTGTTGTCGTGTGTGACGTCGTGTGTGACGTCGTTGCGTCGGGGCTGATTGGTTGAAATCAAAAGACGAGCTTGTGTACATGTTCGTGCTGAAGCACACAAAAGGAATATTAATCATTGAATGTCGAGTATTTTAATAATGTTTGGTGTCAACTAATTCATGCGTGATCGGATTTTCAAAAAAGTCCACTTTCATCTCCTGATTTTTGTGTAGAGGGTTTACATCGGTGCAAACTCTCGCGATATTCACGTTGAGCGAGTGCGTCGTTTGCCCTGTCGTCTGTCAACAACATTGAAACATGGCGGCGGCCGCGATATCCGACGACAGTTTAAAACGCGTTTTCTGTGTTCCAGTCGCATGCTCGCACCATAATGTTAAGAAAATAGCATCCATTGATGTATCGAAAAAATTCAGCGAACTATTTGATGAACACCACGGGCCAAGTAAAAACCGAGGGCGCAGGAGGACGGCGGAGGAGGACGGCGGTGGAGGCGGCGGCGCGCCCCGGCCCACTGAGTCCGGAGCGGGGAGAAAACTAAATAGTTGGCGACGGTCGCGGAGCAGCGGGTTCAATGTCTTCTTGTTTTATGTTTTTGGTTATTTTGTTTACATTTTTGATGGGAGAAAAAAAAAAGATTGAAAAAAAAAACTTTGTCCGACCTACCGATCCCATGCTGAAATTTCATGTTACCGGAAACACACTACTTTTTTTCCTACGCCTTACATTGAAATAAACAATCTACAATAGAACAATATTCTGTGATCGGATTCTTTTGACACTTTTATGACTACACTTTTCGATCATATATCCTTCAATCTTTTGTGGTCCTTACAAATTATTTTTAAAATTTTGTGTTTAAAATTTGTTTTTGTTTCAAGGAGGTGAGGCTGCAGTGGTTCAAGTCGGTGTATGCGTTGGGAAGAATTCCCTTGCAAATGAATGAATTGAAAAGTTCTCATATGGCTACTATTGTATTTTTAATAGAATAAATCTGTTGAATTTTCATGAAAAAAAACCCAACTCTTTTATCAACGGGATTGGGGTATAAAGTCTTTCAGTGACGCCTTAATTAATTTGGCTTCATGCTGTCCGCTGTCTTTCCTCCCACCGTCGTCACAGTGAAGCCAAGCTCTCCAAACGATTCGTCATTTCCTGGTCTTCGCTTTCGGGAGACCTCCGTCGCTCTCTCTCTCCGTCTGTCGACTTCGTGTCGACACTTCACACCCATACTCTGTGCCGTGTGCAAAGCGCGCATGCTCAGTGCCAACAAAACACCGAGCGAATGCTCCCTGCGCACTCTGCCAAGGAGAGCGCCACTGCCCCCTAACGTAGTCGAGGTGCAATTGCACTTTATTCTCGGACAGGAAAAAAAAATCTAAAATAAAAAAAGCATGTTCCCCGAGGCCAAACGCCGCCCCCGCCCCCAGGGGGGCGCGCACCACTGTTTGAGAACCACTGGTACAGACCAATCAGGCAAAACAGTGTAACCACTTGTACAGCATAGAAACATGTTCTTACTTTTTCCACAATACGTTGATAGGCACTAGCTGGATCCAATATTGTGCCTTTCCAACGGTAAAGGTGCTCATTTTTGACATTGCAAAACAGGTATTACGTTTTTTTTTCCTGTTTTTTTTTTTAATTCGTGTCATTTTTGTGACCTCAATTTGAATTCATGAAAATAAATATTTGACACAGCTTTCAGAATGCCCACCCAAGCGAGGAGAATGGCTCATTGGTTGCCTGCATAAGTAAAGCTGAGTTAAGGTCTCCCTTGACATGAGCAGAGCAATCTTGATGACCAACTGTGACATTGTCCTTCCCATTCGTTCATTATAATGTTGGCGTTGGAACATAGAACACAATGTATAAAACCATTTTTCCCCTTTACAGATAATGTGTCTTTATATATCTGGTTAAAGGTCTCCATGTTTAATGAGTAAATGCTTTTGCCACATGCCTTTTGCAAAGTTCAGCGGTGGAGCCTATTTTCATTGTCTGAAGGACTTCTGATCTTGACTTCCATGTTCGGAAGTGAATCGCTTTCAGCATCTTGGAAGTGCAACATCATTGTTACTGACGGCAGTTTATGATTTTAAATGTCAATTTCAGTCAAGATTTCATGTGAAGCAGTCGCTGCATGTAAAAGTTGAATCAGTCGTATACAATTGTGCCACCAAAATGACATGCACACAAGGAAACATCCAAGGAATTTTTTCTGTTGGATGTGTTTCTAGGATATGCTGGCATCTGAGCGCGACCATCCCAAGCAGGAACTGGACTTTGTCATCGGGCGGACTCAAATACTGGAGAAGGAGAAAAATGCTCTTTCACGGGAGCTGAAGGAAAAGGCCGAACTGCAGGAATTCATCACTCTCGGGGTAATTAAAGAAATGCGTTCATCAAAATCCAAGAATGTTCATTTGAGTTTTGATGACAATCGACATTGTCAAAATGATCTCCATTAAAACTGACATGCAAAACAAACTCCTTAAAATATGTCGTGCAGGCTGCCATTGTTTTTTGTGATGGTTTTTACTGGTGCTATTTTCAAAATATGCTGCTTGTTTTTGAAACTTTGCCTTTCGAAGCTCCAAGATTCTCTTAGTGTATCAAATGTGCAACCCAACACAATTTCCCGCCTTTGGTCACTTGCCCTGACAATATATTTTCCAAAAATGTGCAGGTGGAAAAGCTCAGTGATACTGTGAAGTGAGGACAGTTTCTTTAGTTTTGCCGTATTCTGAAAACTGAGACAAGGAAGAATCATTGTAACTTTTGTCTCCAGTTATGAACATCTTAAATGAACGTGATACACTACTTAAAAGCATTGCAGTACTTGTAATGAAACACCACATGTTTTAGGATACGTCGGGATATTGCCTTGTCCTGTCTAAAACTTTCCATTTATGCATTGACAACAGTTAAATGTTTCTGATCTCACAGAGCGAGTTGGAACACCAAATGTGCTCATTGAAGGACACTGTGAAATCCTGTGGCCTCCGATGCATGGAACTTGTGGTGAGGTGGCTGAGAGTTCACACTTTTTTCAAGGGACATAAATAGTTTGAGTAACAGTACACGGTAATTTCAACTGTTCCATTTGATTAAAAAAATTTAAAAAGTCATGTGTAGTTTTATACATTTTAAGTCCCAACAGTACATTCAAAGAAATCCAATGATTTCGAAATGTTTTATATTTAATTTTGATTCTTGGGCTCCCATAAAATAGAAGGTATGACCTTTTTACGGACATCAGTTACTTGCTATTCTCATTGGGCTTGATTCCTTCTCGCCTCCAGAGAGCAAGGAATTACTGTCAATGTGGTGTGCGCCTGAAGTCAATGCACATGGTGGATGTTTATAATAATTTGTCAAAACTAAGGAGGTGGTGACCTTCTTGAAGACGGTAAAAGAATTAGCAAGGATTGCTTTTTGATGACAAAATACATCAAGTTGGAATGACTATGACTGTATACACAAAAATATCAGTGTAAAATAGTGGTCAGGAGCGAAAACATATTTCGAACCAAAACCACAGATCCATAATAGAGAAAATACTCAGCTGGATTGATCAAGCACTTGAAAACAACCACCGCTGTAGACAAAGTGCTGTCCATGGAGCAAAAATAATGAATACAACTAACAAAACAAAATAATAACAAAGACAGTAGAAAGCACAAAAACAGTCAAATTAAAAACAAAGTCGCATGCTGAGTCAAAAGCCAAAGAATAAAAATGAGTTTTTAGACGTGTTCTAAAAATCGGCAGCGAGGGGGCTTGCTGAACGTTGAGTGGAGTGTCGTTCCGAAGAGAGGGACCAGCAACAAAAAAGACTCGCTCCCCTCTGAGCCTCCGCTTACTTCTCTGTACCTCTGAGAGTGTCCGGTCCGCAGATCTGAGGCACTGGGCAGGTACGCAGGGGCTCAGAGAGGTAATTTGGGGCGAGGCCGCTGAAAGATTTGAAAATGAATTGTAGGATTTTAAAAAGAACTTCAAATTGTGAAGTGATGCCAGTGTAGGAGTTATGTGCCCCCTCTTGCGAGTACCAGTCAAGAGGCGAGCAGCAGCAAACTTCAGTCAAGCCTTCGGGTGCCGCTTTTAGAGGGAGGGCTTTCTTCTTGCACAGCAGCCTCTCTGTCCATGGCGATGCAAAACACACTTGACTGAGGAAACTGACACCTGTGTTCCGGCAGCTTCTAATTCTTGGCAGATCTGCTTTTTGGGGGTTCTCGGTTGACTCTTCAACCTCTGGACCAGTTTTTTCGCAGCAGCAGCAGGTAATAGGTTGCATTTTCTACCTGATGGTGGCGATGACAAAGCAGTGTAATAATGCACTTTATACTTCCAAACAGTTGTTTGCACTGTTGCTCTTGGGACCTGCAGCTGCTTGGAAATTGCTCCAAGTGACATGACACAGCTTTCAAAGTCACCAAAATTCCGAATTCATGTTTCTGTATTTTTGACTCAACAGAAAAAGTGACCAAACCTGCGAACTCACAAAGTAATTAAAGAACC